ACGAAAGCTTTAAATCGAAATTTAAAGTGATATAATTTTCAAGAATGTTTTAAAATAGTATGAAATCGATTTAACAAATGTCGACTGTATATATCATTGCATGGAGGCCATGAGCCTATAGGTAATGGTTTTAAGACTTCATATTTAAGTAAAAAATACAAAAATACCCTTAGCTACTCAACAGACCATATCAGTAGTCTACGTGGCATCTCCATTTGTCTCTCCCCATCTCTGTATCTCTGCATCTCCCTTTATCTGCACACCCCCCCCCTTTTTCTCTCCGTATCACCTTCTCTCTCTCTTTATCTACATCTCTCTCAATATCTTGTGAGACAGAGAGAAAGATAAGTATGAAGTACTTTCAACATGAATTGTTGGTGGCAACTTTCATTAAAAAGGTGTGCCACAGCACATTGGAACATGTGAAAAAAGGTGACATCAAAGATGTACAATTACATACTACAGTATATCACATTTTTATTGTAAAATCTGTAGGCCTGTCATATTTTTGACAGGTCGATCAAAGTGCCTATTTATTTCACTAAAATTATTTGATGATATTGCAATAAAATTGTCAAGTCCATAAATATGTTTATATACAAGTTTCGATTAAAAACAGGAGAAACAAATGTTTTTTAAAGCCCACAAAGAATCCGTTACCGATTTAACAGGCACATACTTGGCTTTGAAACCTACATAATGCTATCTATAGAATGTGGAGCATAGAATGGAATTCTGAGGTCACGAAATTCAGTGCAAGGCACAGCAGCTGTGTTTACACGATGAGTCCCCTCAATTCTCACAATTTTAGAAGAAAATGACAAAAACCTATCAAGAAATAAACAAAGATATGCAATATAATGATACAGAAATAAAACTGATATGATGGTTCCCAAGCCCATATTACATCTAAATGAGAAACATCAATGTATTTTAGTTTACGAGATTACCATATTGAATTAAGTTCAGAAACCGCTCTGTTGCAATTTAATAAGCTGTATTCGTAGTTTAAAAGGTATTGCATGATGACAGTGCTCTTTAACTGCATAATCAACAGTGTTCTCTCATTTAAATGCGTGTTTATGCTCCTGTCACAACTTGTTTCCAGATTGAGACGCTCTGATTATAACAATTATCTCACATCTCAAGCATTTTCAAGCTTCATTTAACAATTTAACTAGGACAAGAAGATGATTAGTGCTGTCAACTTACCGGAAAACAATTCAAATGGGTATAACCATGTCACCCTGCTCATGTGTGCAACAACACATGAACAACACATGAGCAACACTGCTATTTCCATGTTGATGGCAATATGTTAATGATTTCATGGAATGTGTTTTAGGCCATTCATGTTGTTGAATTTACTCTTACACAGTCTAGCACAATGCATATGTGGATTCATATAATGTTGCACATGGAATATAAATAGCTACTGATACGATGGTTGTATTATTGGTCCTATGCCATTCAAGGGTTGATAAGCATATCAGAGGAATGAAAATGACGTTGATAGTCTGGTTAAAACCATGCTTACTAGATATGACAGAGTTGATTCATAGTTTAATAACGAGATGGTGCTATGCACATTGTCGTTAAGGACACCATTGCCAAGTTATTATTTTAACATGACATTTTTGGAATAGGTGCAAATGTCTATGTAATGTGCATATGAAGTATATACAGCTTTTACTGTGCACGAACAAATTCACGAAACCAATTTCAATGAAGTTGCATAATACTCACTTTCTTATTATTGTAATGGCACTTAATTCATGCTCGTACAGCTCACAGTAAAATATACATGTTCACCAATTACAGTCATCCTTTGGAAATGCAATAGACGCATACAGTAGTAATGATGCCGATATATGCCAAGATGTTAGTGATTGAGTGGAAAGCCTGCTTTCGCAAATTAAATGTAATTGAGCTCACCTGGTGAATGTAAACACCCCCGATTGGCCCAGCTTTGGAATGATTTCCATGAACTCCCAGAGTCCCACAGCTACTTGAGAAGTGTGCTGAGGTAGCCAGCGAGTGCATTTGGGGTTCCCACCTCTCAAATACCAAAAATTGGGAGATATCATGGGAATAATAATAATATCTCACACGACCAAATGTGGAGAGCACTGCATGTAAATGCATCGTCTTGAGTGGTGTATTAATGGTTACACTCCTGACAAAAACTGGACCTGTTAATGTCCCGGGAAAACTTATGAGATTTCCAGGAACAACGACCTCAAAAAGAGGACATCCTGAGAAAACCAGGACAGGTGGCAGCAACCTGCATGTGTGTACCCACAATGCCAGATGTCACCACTCTTGCTTGGGAAACAGACTATAACCCTCACATAGATTGACTTAAAATTCAAACAGTTATCAGAATACATTTACGTATTTATATAAAATAATGGTGAGGGGTAGGGAGTTTGGCTATACTATGCTCAAGCACATTTTACCGCAGTTTTTCAATTTAGCAATTAGGGTTATGGCACAGTCGGTTTCCTGAAACGCCCACCCCAATTGTATTTTGTCTTTGATCCCTCGTCGTCTTTGGCTTGGTTTGCAATTTTTGAATGTGCTGTCATTTGTAGCACCGTCCATGCTGATGTTCCACTGGTGCTGGGAGCTGTCATTACCTCTGCATATTTGATGCGTCCTATTTGTCATGAAAACCAGACCAAAAAGACTCCTCCATTGATTTTCTAAAGGTTAATTGTACCACCTGTTTACCTGCACATATATTAACTTCGCATTGTGTTGCATTTATCACATTATTGTTTATATATTTTACTTCATGTAAGCTATGGATAACACATCTGTACAAAAACACTTCAATGATATATTTACCAGGTCTCATTCAACTTTGTGAATATTAAATTGCCCTATCCAGTGGATGACTAAGGATATACATTTTTTGCCAAGCTACTGCCAAAATGACTATGTTAAACATCCATATAATAAATAGGCTCATTATATTTTCCCAAAAAACAAAACGTGAATGTTATTTTTAAAGGCTTTTTAAAATGGCATTCAAGAGACTTGCAGACACCTGCAAATTCAACAGAAACAAAATGAAATGTATATTGTGCATATTACACCACGCACATTACACGTGTAAATAAACAATGGACACTGTAGGATCTAAAGCAATATACAGTTATACATACTGTATACATGAATAACATATTTGCCCGATTTCAGTGGGAGCAAGTTGCCTAAGCCATACTGTACATGGTATTTAAAATGAATGGGGTGGTGTGTTAATGTCTATAAAGGGACTTGTATAAATGCTCAAATACGCACGGCAGGAAGGAGTGCTACTTGTAAGAAATGTTATCTGAAACACTAAAACCCCTAGTCTCTGGTGTCCCATACGTCACTCAGCGCTGCCATTAGAGTCGGGCTGTAAGTGAGATGCCGCTTCTCAGTTGTGCATCATGGAAACTATTTTAACGTACGGTTTGTAAACAAGGACATACAAATATATATTAAACTATACTGTAGTACATTAAACGTAATCTCCATGAGTCACGTTCTTTTGTTCTGGAAAAGTTGAGAAACATATACTTGCACAATAAAGGCATAATCTGGTTAGTTTCATACTTCTAGATTTGAAGCTTTCGTGACTGCAAGGATTCATGTTCTTAGGTTTTTTTCGGTAAAGTCACGTAGGTAAAAAAATAAAATTAATAAAAGTAAAAAAAATTACGACGTTTCGGAGGCAACACAAGCTTCCGTCTTCAGGTGGAACCGTCTCACTTGATACAGCAATCGTGCTGTGACGGTTCCACCTGAAGACGGAAGCTTGTGTTGCCTCCGAAACGTCGTGATTTTTATTTTACTTTTATTAATTTTATTTTTTTACCTACATGACTTTACCGAAAAAAACCTAAGAATATAGTTTCATACTTGTTTACCCAGGAAAGTCTCCCTGATGCTCAATACAATTTTCCAGGAGGGTGCTGCAGGTTATCCCAGTAGGGAGCGATGTTGCAACGTGTAATCCCAATCGATTAATTCGCCGGTATTTTTTCAACTTTGGGATGTATTGCCAATGCATTATTTTCAGCTTTGGAAGCATGCCCGTGCAGAACATGGGGAAAACGTGCAAACTCCACACAAAAAGGCACCAGAGTTGAGAATCGAACCCAGGACTGTCAAGCAAAAATGTCCCCAATGTGTCATCCGGTCGCCCAAGGCGTAAACGCCAAATCACAAACGAGAAACGAGTTTTCGCAAAGCAGCTGAAAATAATAAAAATAAACATTTTGAACAGCAACCACGTTCGTTTACGTTCAACGAGACGATGTATTTGACAAGATAAATTCAAACATCGCAGCCCTTATCGGCCATCGGCTGTCTGACACCGTTCACCGGTGCCCAATGAAGAGGGTTTACGGTAACATTTCAGGGAACACTGCAAACTTTACAAAACAATACATGTTTACATTCTCCACGTGAGGTGACAGCGGTAGGGGTTTCTCCTAACACCTTCGCTTCGTTGTCCTCTACAACAACAACAACAAAAACCCCGTCTTGTCCTCACAATTCACAGATTAAAACACAGCAATCAATGCGCCACCAAAAATGTCATTGAGCAGCATCGTCCATTCCACCGCTTCGCACACCTACAACCGGCGTTTCTCAATCACAATTTAAATTAAGCTTCGTTTATTCTCTCTCTCTCTCACTCACATGTAAGGTATAAAGTACCGCATTTATCGCGCTACGGCAATGCAATGTCAGAGCGTCGTCCCGTGCGTCTGCTCGCAATAAACGTGGGCAGCGTGCACTTCAATTGCACCGTTGCAGAAATGCAACCCGAGGAGAGGTTTGTGGTCAGACACGGGACACGTGAAAGCTACGAGGATTCTAACGCTCGCGGACGTACACAGGAGGGGAAACAGATGGAAGGGAATGGATGAGAGAGGGGGGGAGGGAGTGAAAGAAGAAGAGGAATGGGAGAGAGAGAGAGAGATGAAAAAAACTCCACTCACCAACGATGGCACGGGAGACCAAAGAGCCGGAGAGCAGCACTCCAGCGAAGGTAAGAAACCCCCAACGGGGGGATGCGAATCTCCACCGGCGACGTCACACTGGGGCGGAGCACGTGGGAGCCCTTTAAACGGCCAAGTCTTAAGGATGACACGCGGCCAAGCGCAGAGCGAAGCGCTGCAACAGACCACAACAAAATTAACCCGTAAAAACAACGTTTTTCACTATAAATCCTTTATATGCGTGGCATCGGTTTTATTTTATTATTCATTTCTGTTTTTCTTGAGTAAGAATTTCATTTTTATCACATTGGTATTTTAAATAAAATATGGAATTTATTTTTTCCTAAAAAGTGGAAAACTTTGGGGAAAAATTTTCACGACAATAAATTGTCACGCACAACGAGTCTGTGTGCAAAATGTCAGCTCGATCGGATCACGGGAAGTGGGTTAAAAAACGACCGAAAGATTTGCACGGTCGTAAGCGCGCAAGCAAGCAAGTGAACTTAATATAAAGGATTTAAAAATTAACCCGTAAAAACAAAGTTTTTCACTATAAATCCTTTATATGCGTGGCGGCTAGAGTCCTCTCGTCCTCTGGCTTGAGATGGCTGCCACCTATGGGTCAGATGATTGTCTGCCAGTATTAAGCAATTGGTAACTAAATATTTAATTAGTTTTCCCTAAACAGTGTAAAATTTAGGAAAAAAATTTTCACGAAAATAAATTGTCACGCACAACGAGTCTGTGTGCAAAATGTCAGCTCGATCGGATCACGGGAAGTGGGTTAAAAAACGACCGAAAGATTTGCACAGTCGTAAGCGCGCAAGCAAGCAAGCAAGTGAACTTAATATAAAGGATTTAAAAAGCACCACCGTTCTCCCAAATGCTAGTCCATCCCTTTCGGAATGTGAGCGATTGAATGAACACGTGGTAAGGCGTCGACGCGGGCGACGGTCCATTCTGCGTCGTCGTGCGAAAGTTCACGGCGATGTCGCACGCGCGCTCTAAGTTTCATTGAGAGTGTTCTAGTCTTCACAAGTATAGCGGGTGAATAAAGAAGTAAAATATTTTTTTTACGTATAATACCAAAGAAAATTGTGAAAATGTAAACAATTACAATGTTTAGATGTTTATTTATAGCGTACAGTTAGTGGCAAGACATCAATAATATCAATTGTTTTTATAACAATACATTTTCCTTTAATTGTGTAGAACTGTAGATGAATGGCACTATAATAATATCGAATTATATTGAAAAATATGCAACAGATTAGTCAGTCCTTTTTATCTCAAAACCAAGGCCGTAATTATAATATATTAGGGGGGGGGCACATCCCCCCAATAATCAAAAATGCTCAATGTCCCCCCCCCCAATATATTGCTATCAAATAATTGCTATGCTATGTAAATAAAAACAACAATTTGCTGAACCTTGGCCACAATATCTGGACTTGTCTTCATATAAATCAATGCGTAGTTTTCTGTTTATATGATTGTGGTTATGGTTGTACTTTATTACTCCCTAATCTCTGTCATTACATACAATGAAACAAGAAATGGTAAAAAAAAAGTAAAAACAGAGCAAAGTAATACAATACACCATTAGACATTATCGTAAAAAATAAAGTCCATCCCATGTGTTAGTGATTTTTTTAAATATTTTAGACAGGGAATGAGTTTTAAAATTTATATATTTTTCTGGGTTGGGACCCCCAGACACCCTGTAAGATTTGGTCCCCCCCCCAATGTTGACTCCATGGCTACGGCCTTGCTCAAACCTGATACAAATTCGCTCAGATGGCCAGGTTAATGAATACAAAAAAACGAATTCAAAGTTGTCTGTGGCACAGTGACATTGTGGAAGCCTCTGTCATGCACATTGGCGGAGGACATTGTTTCCTCGCCAGCGGTGTCACCTTTCAAGGAGGTGCACGATGGGAGTAACAGGACATACAAAGAGTGGATCGTGTGTGTGAATTGGCTCGCGCAGTGTGAGTGCTAATAACAACGGGCTTGTTTACATTGTTATTATGTAAGGGGCCGTCCATAAATGACGTCACTCGATTTTGGACGATTTTACCCCCCCCCCCCCCCGTCGTCATACGGCGTCAGACCCCCCCCCTCAAATATGACGTCACAAAGCTCTGCCCCCCCCCCCCAAAAAAAATAAAACATGCTTCAAATCGCTTTCAACTATTGTCATTGTAGTGCGTATTTAATGTGGCGCTGCACTCTGATGTTGTAGGAGAAAACATTTACTAAAAAGTCTATTTAATTAAGTAGAACGTGTTGTCTATATTTATTTAAAGTTGCGCATTTTGATGTGACGTCACATTTCTCAACCCCCCCCCTCCTCGTCACACATCGTCACAAATGTCTGACCCCCCCCCCCCCTAGGTGCGTGACGTCATTTATGGACGGCCCTTGATTATCCGTGCATGCGTGGATTATCTGGGTTTTTGAGAAACAGCGTTTGTAAAGAAACATATATTTGTTGAGCCCTGGTTTAATTATCAGTTGCTTCTCACTCATTGAGAGCCACTAAGTCGGTGACAATGTGACCACACACACGGATGCAAGTAAATTGAATCCTTTCGGAAACAATACAAATAACACGTGTTTTATATCTTCACAACAGCAGCGTAATGAGCCTGGGGGCAGGGGGTGCCTTGCCCCCCTTCCCACCCCTGGTGGTCAAAGCTATGAATTGGGGCCCTCTTGACAATCACCATGAGAGACAAACCAAATGTTAGGGCCCTACCTGAACGATTGCCGCACCCGCTGACATGATAATGAATGTAGTCACGACGCTACCGCTTTACACTCACTGCATTGACAACCGTCTCTCCTCTCATCTTGCCCATAACTGCACAGCCACTCACCTTCAGTTGCAATGCAGAAATTTGAGCACACCATCATCATTGCCAAAAGACAACGTGCGTCTATTATCGCACGCTCGGTGAATCACTTGTGCCAGTGGTGCTCTACGTTATAAAAAGAAAAATTACCCATAGATCCCATCATGTTGTAAAATTTAATGGTAAATTATAATCTGTAAAACCGTCGCGGGACCCCATCTTCCAAGTGAAAGAGGGCCCAATTAGTGCATTTTCTATTTAAACCAATGTCTAATTAAACTTATTTTAGTGCAATAATTTGAACAAAAGCCGAGGGAAGGAAAGAAAATCAATTTTCTTTGTAAATACAACTAAATCTCATTAAATTGTGAGCATCAACACAGTTATATTTTTGCCTCTAATCACTAACTTGGTGTTTGCGGTGATTTTTCACATATATTCCAAACGTTGGGTAAAAACTAAAGTAACTTGAGAATAATATACCTTTGCATTGCCATACAAAACGAGTAAACGTGCACAAATCAACTATGTATGCAAGACTGAAGTGGTTATCCGGGCACACCTGATTGTTATCTTGCATTTAAAAGGGGAATTTTCCTTTGATAAACTACAGAAAGCGGTGGCGCAGGCAAAATCCACGCTTTTGCTAAAGAAAAGCTGAAATAACTCATATTTGCAAGCATCCTTAAGGCCCACCCACATAGACCGGATTTCCCTGACTCGATCACCCCACCCCGCAGTCCGGGCCCAACAACAAATAGGCAGTGATGACGTCAGGCTTGTGAGAACCATCCGTCACATTTGACTTGTTGGGGAATCACCGTGGCTCCGTTGCTACAATATTAAACATCTCTCTACTCTGCAGTCACCTTATCCTGGCTTTTGACGGCTGCAGTGTAAACGCTGGAGCATAACACAAGTTAAACAAGTCGGATGGATTTTTGCCACCATCACCCCCCAGTTACTTCCTTGAATTGGCTAAAAATATAAAAAGATGTGTATTGCTGCAAGGTAAACTGTACAAGCCTACAACATACCGTAGAATGTATATGCGCGGTCTGCATATTTTGAAAAATGTCTATATACGTGATTTGCCACGTCATACCTATCAACTACAGCGACATTTTGTTCGTGCTTGATATTTTATTTCTATATTTGTACAGCCATTGCAGCAGTAGCAATGTATTTTACTCTACACAGTACATTATACACCTGATTAAAGACCCATATGTTTTCAGTTTCATGTATTAGGTGTAGCCCTGTAAGCCATGAGGCTCTTGACTTGGGTGCAACCGCAACAAACAAAACACGAACAAAGAACATCTTAACGTGACGAAGCGCAACAGAAGCATCCAAGGAAAAAACAGTAAAATCTTCCAAAAAAAAGCACCGTATATCAACGCTGTGTGCAAAAATCCCAATGGGATGCAAGTCGAACAATAACAACCATAAGACAATTTAGATAAAGTTATCAGGCTAACTCCGTACTTCAACAAACAAACATGGCTTAACCATACGTTTTCGAATATCACCAAAATAAAGCTATAAAAGCAATGTAACAGCGATCATAGGAACTGTGATTCAAATTGAACAATAAACGATATACATAACATGTCCGACTAAACTTTGCAGCCATAGCTGGCAGCATGAGTCACTCCATAACAGCAGGAGTATCAGCAGGAATATCAACATTTTTCAATGCACCTTTAAAGATCAGCACACTATAATTGAAGCTCAAGAGCATACTTTGCAGCGGACATCCGGAGCGGTGCATTTGATTTCAGGCCACTCTGCATAGCAGTGGCAGCGGGGGGGGGGGGGGTGTTTGGAGTGTCACTCCATCACATACGGAAAGTTTTCCCTGGCATCCTGGTTTCCTGTTCATAACCAAATCACCGACAATCTACCCCATCTTATCAGATCCCGGAAGCTAAACAGAAAAAAACAGGTGACCACTATGCAAAAAACACGTGTTGTAGGCTACTCTGATGAGACATTGTCAGCAGTGCAACAACATCTCTCACTGCTCAAACAGATATGCTCACTCCCGTCACCAACCCGAGCTGACCAATATGATCAAATAAATACATCCCATGTCCCAGATAAGAGGGAGGGGCCCTCATCCAGGAGTAGATGAACACATTTTTTTTACTGTACATGTATAATAATCATGATAAACTCTGGTTTCTATTGCACAATTCGCACATGACCTCAA